TTGGCCCAGGATTCCTTGGAGATCCCCATATGTCTGACATCAATTTTCCTCTGCTTCTTGCTTCTAGGAGTTTCTCAGTACAGGGGGCTCAGGTCCAGAGGATGCTCTCCTCTTCCCTCTTCCCCCTGCCCCTCCCCTCCAGGTTCTTCTTTCTTGGTGGTAGTCTGATCTCTGCCCACTTCTTTTATCTCTCAATATAGAGAGAGGTGTTGGAGCCCTGGTAGTGTAGGGGTTATACATTGGGCTGCTAACCACAAGGTCAGCAGTTTGAAACCACCAGTTCCATGTGAGAAAGATGGGGCTTTCTACTCCCTTAAAAAGTTACAGTCTCAGAAACTTGAGGCAGTTCTACTCTGTCCAGTCAGGTCACTGAGTCGGCATTGAGTTTAAGCTTTGGTTGAAGACCATGCCCCAAGGAAATGCCCCTTACATCAGATCAGGCTGTGATTAGGATTAAAGGTTTTGCATCCTCTCCTTAATCCTCTTACTGGTTTGTTACATTAGATCACGTCACAGGGGTTCATTACTTAACTGCCACACTACTGAAAATCAGGGTCCAGCCAAATTGACACATTCTGGGAGGGACACAACTCAATCCATGACAATACATTGATAAAATAATTCCTAATTTATTGTCATGTAAAATACTCCATGAAGTCAAGGACTTCTGTCTCCTTTCCCTGTTATATCTCTAGCACTTGACACTCAGAGGCACCACGAAATATTTGCTGAATAAATATTCAGTTAAATTCCCAAGTGGTGTTAACAAACCCAGGGACAAGGGAACAACGTGTGATCCAAAATCGGTGGTGAGGAGGGTGTCTGGTAGGGCTTGATCAAAGGCAGTGTAATCAAGAGGAATTACTAAAACTGAAATGAAGGCTGAGCATGATAGTGGGAGAAGAGGAAAGTAAAAGGAAATAGAGGCAAGAACTAGAAGGCAAAGGGCATTTATAGAGTTCTAAGTACATGCATGTACATATGTAAATACCTTTATATATGATGATGGGGAAATAGATCTATGTGCATATATTTATAAGGTTAGCATTAAGGTAGCAGATGGACATTGGACCTCCATTCAAGTACTCCCTCAATGCAAGAACACTTTGTTCTATTAAACTGGCATTCCATGATGCTCACCTTCCCGACACGATTGCTAAAGACAAAGTGGGTGCATAAGCACATATGGTGAAGAAAGATGGTGGTGCCCGGCTGTCAAAAGATATAGTGTCTGGGGTCTTAAAGGCTTAAAGATAAACAAGAGGCCGTCTAGCTGAGCAGCAACAAAGCCTACCTGGAAGACGCACACTGATCTGTGTGATCGTGAGGTGTCGATAGGATCAGGTAACAGGCATCAAAGAACAAAAAATCTTATCATTGTGAATAAGGGGGAGTGCAGAGTGGGGACCCAAAGCCCATCTGTAGGCCACTGAACATCTCCTTAGAGAAAGGTCTCAGGGAGGAGATGAGCCAATCAGGGTGCAGTGTAGCAATGATGAAGCATACAACTTTCCTCTAGTTCTTAAATGCTTTCTGCCCCCACTATCATGATCCCAATTCTATCTTACGAATCCGGCTAGACTAGAGGATGTACACTGGTACAGATAGGAACTGGAAACACAGGGAATCCAGGACAGATGGTCCCCTCAGAACCAGTGGTGAGAGTGGCCATACCGGGAGGGTTGAGGTAAGGTGGGGTAGAAAGGGGGACCCGATTACAAGGATCTACATATAACCTCCTCCCTGGGGGACGGATAACAGAAAAGTGGGTGAAGGGAAACGTTGGACAGTGTAAGACATGACAAAATAATAATAATTTATAAATTACCAAGGGTTCATGAGGGAGGGGGACAGGGAAGGAGGGGGAAAATGAGCTGATACCAGTGGCTCAAGTAGAAGGCAAATGTTTTGAGAATGATGAGGGCAACAAATGTACAACTGTGCTTGACACACAATGGATAGATGTATGGATTGTGATAAGAGTTGTATGAGCCCCCAATAAAATGATTTTTAAAATAAATAAAATCTGACACACACACCCCACAGTGTTTACTTCTTTGAATAATTACTCCTAATTTTATTCCAGGTTTAAGAAAATAAAAGCCTTGAAGGATAAATAACTTTTTTCTTCTCTTTCCCCTCCCCCCAGACTACCATTTATAGGTCCTGGGTTAAGACAGCAATTTCTGTGCCTTCCTGATAGTTCAGAGACAAGTTTCCGTGCAACCAGCAACCAAGAAAGGAAAAACTCTCTTCTTTACTAAACTGACACTGCTTAATATACCTGAATCGCAGGAACAACAACTCCAGTGAAGTGATAAAATTATTATTTTGACATCGTTGGACACTCATCTGCTGAGCTTCCTGCGTTGAGGGTGGGAACCTTCGCTGGTGCTTATTTATACCCGGGACTGTAACCATGAGTGAATTCTGGCTGTGCTTCAACTGCTGTATTGCCGAGCAGCCCCAACCTGTAAGTATGAAATCGGCTGTGTACAGGGGGTGGGCTGCTGGTTCTCGCACTGAGAAGTAGGACCCGAGGAGGCAGCGCTGTGGAATGTCACAGATTGTTCCATTGAACAGCTCTAGCAAAGGGAGAGAAAGCAGCAAAGTAGTCTCACGCATATAAAAGTTTGAAACTATCAACTGACAACTGAAGGAAAAAGAAAGGTATAAATGTATATTAAAATACATTCTCTGAGTAAATGCTATGTGTCAGCAGCTGTGCTAGACCACTGTACATGATTAACAGCAATACCTTCTTCCACCAAGCGGACAGCTTCGGCAGAGGGGTTCGGGGGAGGGGCAGGAAGGAGACAGTCACCTGAGGAGAAACTGCTCGGTCAGCCTCGGAAATCAGTGGGGCGGAATATCTGGCAGCCAGGTTGCCTCCATCTGTCTCCGTGAAGGGTGTCATTTTCCTCGTTGTGACTGACTCCTTGAGGACCCAGTCTCTGTTTACACTTGGAACAGGGTTTTGCCCAAGGACATGTAGATGTTAATTGGTCTTGACTGACTTGTTGAGACCCGCCCCATTCTGTGCCTTTCATCTGTGCACATACTGCTACCTATGACCCCCAAATGCAGCACAGTCGCTCATTCTAAAATGCCTGGGTCAGTCGCCACCTCTAAAATCTTCCTGGACTTTCCCGTGACTTAGATACTTCTTCTGTATTCCCACAGCTCTTGGATCAGTTTGCTGTTATCGCATAGAACTCCTTTAGGTAGTCAGTAACTTATTTCTCGAACATTTGCTCCCACTAACTTTGGAATCCTCTACAGGCTGTACCCATATTTATCTTTGTATCTTCAGGATCAGGTATTCTACCTTGAAGAATGTAGGTACTTGGGATGGCTGGGTGATTTCTGTGTTTCGTACATTTGTAACACATAAAAGAAGAATGAGACAAAGATGTACGTGCACATGTAATATAGCAGTGATTTTTTATTATGAAAATATGTACAGGGTAGACAAAAGAAAAAGTTTTAAAAATGAAAAGCCCTTTTATTGTCCTCTTCCCTCAATCATACCCAGGTGAAATCCCTTTTAGAATCAGTTATATATATCTCTAGATCAGCAGTTATCAACCTGTGGGGCGTGACCCCTTTGGGGGTCGAACGACCCTTTCATAGGCATCCCCGATTCATCACAGTAGCAAAATTACAGTTATGAAGTAGGAACGAAAATAATTGTATGGTTTGGGGTCACCACACCATGAGGAACTTTATTAAAGGGTCATGGCATTAGGAAGGTTGAGAACCACTGGTCTAGATACTGTCAAGGCATTTGCATATTATATGTAGGCTTTATTGTTTCTAAGTAAATATGCTTATGCTAAACATATGTTGTTTATACTTAACAGTATATCTCAGATTATTTCATGCTTAAACATAAATCTATTTTGCTTTCCTATTTCTAAAGTCTTCACAGTGTTTATGACAAAAATATGCTATATAATTTAATTTCCTGCTGATGGTTATACTTTGCCTATATTGTGGCAACTATTTCTTTTAGAAGAATTAATACCAGACTAGTTGCAAGGAGTTGGAGATTAAAGATGTCCCAAATGTCCAACTCTTCCAGGATGCTGTTCTCCGTTTCCCCCCATTCCTCCTTTGAGTATATACCCTCCTGTAAGTGGGTTCTAACAAATTTGCTGCAGCATCCCACAGGAACCCATGAAACTTTGAAGAAATATCTCATGTGGTAGTGGATGCTGGTCAGTCCAAAATCTGAAGGTCAGGCAGAGGTGAACTAAAAGCAGGGTCCAGAATCAGAAGCCAAAATGCCCAAAATTCACGACAGGCCATGCTTCTCCCAGAGCTCAGGAAGAAAATAGAGGTCACAGGCTGTCCAGGTGAGGCGATGTGTGCAGAAAGAACTGTCTGGTGGTAGTACATAGCCAAGAAAACAAAGGATGTGGCACATTTCATACGCTGGGGTCTCAAGTGCCTTTAAGGTAAGGTCTTAAAGATTCCCCTCAAGGAAGCAAAGGGTGTGCTTTGGTTCACACCCTCTGCTAAGGGCAGGTTTTAACTCTATTATTAGAGAATGCCCTCCAAAATGGGACAATAGCCACAGTCATGTAATGTCCAGAATTATACAAAAGATCTCACATACTAAATTATGTAGAGAAGGGCCATATTGACTGTAACTCATAGGTTATTTAATTGGTGTTCTCTTGATTTCTGGCAAGATTAAGCATCTTTTTATATACTTAATGTACTTTATACACTTAAAAGTTTTTACCTTTTTCACTTAGTTGCCTGTTGACATTTGAATGATTTTGTGTGTCTGAGTCTGTTTTGCAGATTTCGTTCTCCACATTGTGGCTGATAATCCTTTGTTCTAGATGTTTATCTTAGTTATCAAGTTGATTTTTTAACTTTGGGGATTCTTTTATAATACACAAGTTTCCCTTAAAGGGAACTTCACCATCCCAGTATTTTATCTTATTTTTTACTATTTTTAATATTTTGGTTTTTCGCTTTTATTTCTTTGATCCAGGTAGAATAGTAAGTGACTAATTTGTGTGATGTGAGGTAGGAGTTCCTTCATTCTGTGAGCTGACTGAAAACCCGGTCTTTATGTCATACTTCTGTAATACTTGGAGCCCTGGTGTCGGAGTGGTGAGTCGACCTGCAGTCTTCGAAGTTGGCATTTGGAAACCACTAGCCACTCCTTGGGAGACAGACAGGGCTTTCCACTCCCATAGACAGTCTCGGAAACTCACGAGGGCAGTCATACCTGTCCTAGAGGGCATGTCCTGTGAGTGGGCATTGACTTGCTGGCAGTGAGTTTGGTTTTTGTTTTCATTGTTTGTTTTCCTGATATGTTTTTTGCCAGTACTTGCAGTATATTTTAGAGAAAATTCTACTCAAGTATGTCGTATATGGGCTTACTCACCAAAAGCTAAAATAAAAAGGCCCAGATTGTGAATTGAAGAAGCATAATAAGGCTTGTTTGGATTATGAATTTGAGACACTGAAAATATACAAGGGGGCTTCAGAAAGTTCTTGCATGGAAATTATCGCCTAGTTCTCTTGTCCCACAAATTTTTAGAGTACCCACATCCCAGGAAACCCCCCACATCCCCACATTTTCAACTTGAGTTTTTGATTAAACAAGTCAGTATTGTGCTATTGTTTAATAACACATTTGTGTGAAATATAACACCAAAAAAAGGTAATCAATTTCTTAGCTTTTTGACTTTCTAAGAAAAAACACACACAACAGGGTCATGGGCTTACTGTTAAAGGAGCAACAGCTAGCTTGTGGACTCAGGAATATTCGATTTAAACTATGCAGTAGTAGTATGCATCCTTTGACACACACATACACTGCTATCGTGTCAATACTGACTCATTGTGACCCTATCGGGCAGGGTAGAACTACACCTGTGGGTTTCCGAGACTGTAACTCTTTATAGGAGTAGAAAGCCCCATCTTCCGCAGAGTGGCTGCTGGTTTCAAACTGCTGCCCTTGTGGGTCATAACCCAACACATACCAACAGGGCTCCTTGATGTATTCTTAGCATTGTATAAAAACATATCCCTGCTGTGCTGTGAGTTAGGACCAAGACTGCCTTATTTGAAAGTTGCTTGGTCATCTCCAAAGTTTGCTTTTCTACAACTATTCACTGAAACAGAGTACTTAGTGCCACCCCTCCCGCCCATTCTTTACCACCCCTGCTCTTGTACATTTCCAGTATTGGAAAGAAAGCATGATGCATTTTTCTGAGCAGTAGCAGATGATTCATAGTTTTCTCTTCGTACTCCTTCATTTTAATACAGAGTCTAATAGAGTCCTAAATATTTTGAGTTATGGTAATCAAAACTTTTTCATTGGCTCTATATAAATGTTTATCTTAAGAGTAACTAGGGCTATGGATTAGACATTTGCTTAGTTGGTGCATTGCACCTTGTTTTTCTGATTCATAATACCTCCATCTACAACAGAACAAAACATGGCCCAGTCCTGTGCCCACTGATGCAAGCACTGTGTGGCTCCATCGCCTTGAGGGGCTTCCTCTTTCACACTGACCCCTATCAGGCACGAAGCCCTCCTCTAAGTACACTGCAGCTTAGGTTTGAAAAATAAATGAGAGATAGTTTTCAGCTGTTTATACGACTAGTGAATTTTTCTCCCTGTTTAGTTCATCAGCATATAAACGTTGCAGCCCCACTGCAGTCACTTCTGAGATATAGTAACTCAATAGGACAGAGAAGAACAGCACCATCAGGCTTGCAAGGAAACAGACTGCCTCATCTTTCTCCCATAGAGGGTTCAAAATACCAACCTTTTGGTTAGCGGCCAAATGCTTTAAACTCTGACAGCCTAGTTTGCTTTTAAAAAAAGACGAAGACTGGATTTACAGGAAGAAAATATAATACTTTTCTATTTCGATTATTTTGTCTTCCCCATTGAATATTTCCCCACATGGCATTGATTGGTTATAATACTATTTGAAGGTATCTGTGAAATGTGTGTATATGTTTTAAGATTCTACATTAAAGTGCATTAAAACAAAAAACAAAGCCCACCACCATCAAGTTGATTCTGACTTAGTTACCATATGGTTTCCAAGTCTGTAAATCTTTATGGGAAAGACAGCCTTATTTTTATCTCGTAGAGCAGCCAGTGGATTTGAACTGTTGACCTTGCAGTTAACCGTCAACAGCATGCAGGACAGCACCACCAGGGCTCCTGGAGGTATATAGCCATCATATATTGGTGCCTATAGAAACAATGGTATTTCTACCGTGAGCTGCAAGACCTGTTGAAGCGATCGTGAACAAACAAACATCTTGAGCCTCATGGGTCTCACTCTAGTGGAAGAGATATTAGTAAACAATACGTTAACTGATGGTAAGAGCTATGTAGAAAAAGAGAGCAAAAAAAGAAGATAGCGCATGGTGTTGGAGAAATGGAGCGTTGATTTAATACCTGAGGTGTTAAGGGAAGGCCTCTCT